AGAAAAAAAAAAAAAAAAAAGAAAAGAAAAGGAAAATACATAATGGCGCACGATTCGAAAAATCGAGGGCGAGGAAAATCGCGCGTAGAATCGCGGGACGAGAGGAAAATAATGAACGTATGTAACGAGCCTTTCTTTCCAATGCATTAATTAGACTATCTTTGGCAATCAGCCGCGCTTTGAATCCGCTCGAAACGCGTTCGATTGCCGCTCGCTCGATTTCACGATGGGTGTGCAGCAACTTTTGCTCGTTCATATGAGTTACGATGTCGAATTAATTCTGACTCGTGCAACAATGTGGCAAGGAACAACGGCGGGAAAGACATTGCTTCGTGCAATAAGGCTGAGATATGAATTTTAAGGCTTTCGAAAAAATTCTTCGCGAAGATTAAAAAGAAAGAAAAAAAGAAAAAAGTTTCGAGACAATACGTAATCCGAGAATGAGGGATAGTGGATCGTGGTTTTATTTGTTCTTTTCTAGTATTAATTTGCGCCGCGTGACTTCATCGAAATCGATCGTGACGTGTCCATAACAGTTTAGAGTAATAATCTCGTTCAATTCCCTTCATGGTTTATCGGTGATTTAATCTTAACCGTTTCCATGTGAACGCACTTCTTTGCTTTCGATTGCCACAATCCTCATTGTCGAGAATCTTATGTCATTTCTGAGTAATCTGTTAACTATTCCTATTCCTCAGACGACTCTCAGATCTCTTAGGAATCTCAGATTCCTAATTTTTCATCTAAAATACACGTTCGATCTTTAAGTTCGATTTAATAAAAATATTACCACCCTTTCGACTTTTTATATACATATAAAATCCGATATATTTTCTCCGTGAAAACTATTATTACTTCTTGCGACACAGCCAGGAATAAAGCACGCTCTGCACGATTGTCGACACAATGGCCAACAGGAGAAAGATTATGAGGCGAAAAAGACAATCTCGGAATCGGCCAGATGTCCATTTAAATACAATGGGGCGGAAATATGGAGCAACGAGACAGAAATTCTGTCGATGGATCGAAATATCTTCCTTACGACATTGCCATCACCCTCTCACAGCCATGGCCGTAGAGAGAGAGAGAGAGAGAGAGAGAAAAAACTCGACCGAACTTTTTCTCTTATTTCCGAGAGCAAAGAGAGAACCGTAGAAAAGAAAAATCGTCATCCGATCGAGTTACGTGATCAGGGGAGAGTTTCGTTGTTGTTCGAGCTTCTTTTACCTCCCGTCCAATTCCTTTCCTGCTTCCTTTGCCGATCCGAGACAGCCGATACACGCTCGCCTCTCTCGTAATTCTGCTTGCCCCGACTACGAGTTCGTTACATAAAACGAACTTAATCTAACCGTAGGGGGAGGGGAGGATTTGTTCGATCGGCGGCCTTTCCACGGATGAATCGTAAACGCGAGATATCTCTTGCGTAAGAGGGTGGGATCGAGTTGTCGAAGCTCGCGATTTTACACTACGCTTGTCGCCGTTCTCGCGTTTCGGCCACCAGAAACCACAGACCGACGCGGATGAAATCGAGGAAGCGCGATTCAATTCGAGAAAGTAGAATCCGAGAAATGAAATTTGTTTTGAAAGAAGAAATATATAATAGCATCGCGTTTTGGCTTCATCGAAGAAGAGGCTTGGAGAACGAGTAATCCTCCACTCGCGAATATGAATGGAATAATTTCTTTGGCGAAAAACGTCGCAAAGAAGTGGAAAGTGCAGGGTCGATTTCACGAAAGTGAAAAGTGACCGTCGCGACGCCAGCCTCGTGATATAACAACTTCTTTTTTTTTTTTGGAAAGTGATTTCGGATGCAGGTCGCGCGGTGTAGCTCGCTTCCGGTTCCTTCGAGAGCAGGCCACGCCTCCCGTGGGAATCGACGAGCAAAAATATTTCGGTATTGCCCCCCGGTATTGCAATTTGTTTCGATCTCACAATTTCCGCTCATAACGAAATCGCCACTTTCCTGCCCCGACCTACCTACATTTCGCAATACCCTCGGGATGCTGGTTCTACTTGTATTTAACACGCCGCTGCGTAGATGCACGATTCACGATTCTGAAAATTTTTTGACGATAGTGAAAAATTTCAAGCCAATTTTAAAACCTTGTTACCTCGCTTTCGATAAACGTTGGACGAAGTTTGTTCAACGTTACGGTATTGGCATCGAATCGATCGAGCCGAAATCGAAAGAAAGAAGAGCACTTGCGTCTAGCAAGTTCGTCTAACTTTCCAACGCAAGAATTTTCGCTCTAGTGTTGCCATAGCGATATTGATCCTTCGAAATTTGACGAAGGGTTCTGGATTACTCGAGAGCTTAGCTGCATATTCCTTTCAAGCCTCGACCAAGCAACACTCCCCCGTCTTGTCTTCCCAATTGGGGATCCCAACGAAACTCGCTTCCATTCTCCTCCTCGCCGTGAAATCGAGTCACGAGTCTACCGTTGTTCTACCGTTGTTCTAAGGGTGAACCTTGACACCGTGGTGTGGGAAACACGCGTCATTTGACCAAGGATTCGATCGGTTTTGCCAGAGGATCTTGACGGAATCTCGATCGTTCAGACACGCAAGGTGCGATGGAATCAATTCAAAAATTGAAAAATCGAGAGAATCCTTTATGAAAAATCTTGAAAAATAGAAACGATGTTTTTTAAGTGGAATTTCGAATTTGGGAAATTCGTGACATTTTTCAGAAGTGAAAGAAACTTGACAAACTTAACAATTATTTTTGAATAGTAATTAATGGAAATGGAGTCTTTCGATTAACAAATGCACGTTGAACTTGATCCCGTCAAATGTTTTTTTGTTGTTATTGGAAAATGCTTTTCGCACGGCGGGCACGACCGGTTGCTCAACCTGAGGCGCTTTCGAAACGCCGATGCACCGGTGCCAAGGACGAATCATCCATTTGCATAAATTTCAATCGATTTCTGTTTAATCGGATTCGTCGATCGACCGTCGTGGAGTTGTGTAATTGGATGGAATCGGTCGGATCGTTTGTAATCTCTGAATTTTAATAATCGTAAAACGCAGTTACGATTTCTCGGCGTGTTCCGTAACGTGGTTGAGAGTGTGAATTATGTGCTAGTAATTCGTAATACGATAGAACTTTGTTTTTACGAACTGGCCGGGGAAACAAGCGGGCTCACATAACGAGGTTTTTCTATATATAATAAAAGACATATTTCTCCATTTGATGTTTCTTTCAGAAATAATAAGAATCCACAAAAAGGTTTTTCTTTGAAAATATTAAATATAATAGATATCCAGGTACTTAGTCACTATGTAATGCATTTCGTCCGTATAGAGATAAGTTTCACTGTGTGTGTACGAGTAATTTGTTATTACACTTGTATCGTATATACGATGTTTCACACTCGTATAAATAATCTCGTTCCCCGATCGGATAATTACAGTTGTCGCGATTATTATCGTCATTAATAAACATGTAAAAGAGATGGTTAAAATTATCGTTACGCTTTACGTAAGAGAGGGACGAGTATAATAATAATCAAAAATACCTGTTCTCTTCACCCAATTACCTTCATCATCTGAAGAACTCGAGCAAATTCTTCGTTCGCAAATTGCGCACGTGAAATCGCCTTAATGCTTCTCGAACCGCTTTCCATAATTAAAAGAAAAAAAGAGAGAAGAAAAATAAATAAATAAATAAATAAATAAAAATTTCTATCCATCATCGAATTTCAAACGAGTCATAATGGATAAGTTTTCAGGAAGTGAAGAAATCCTTTCCTGAAATATATATCGGTTCTCGTTCTTTTTTCAATCTTCCTCTTCTATTTCCTGCAGACGAGAATAAAATTACAAAACGGAAGTGGAACGAGCCTCACCGCGCCAGTTTCTTCGTGCAACTGCGTGTACGAGACACGCGCGTGTTTTTACGCGGCTGCAATCGGTTTCGTAACTGCCTCCGCAAACTGCGAGAGATCGTCCTTCGGTTACAGGAAGTCGGGTCTTTCGACTATCGTCCAGCTGATTTCGATCTATCGATCGAATCGCGCCATAGATGCAAATTCGAATATTTCTTTCTTTTTTTCTTTTTTCATAAGAGAAAACGATTTTCCTTTCTCTGAAAAAAAAATCTTGCGATTAAAAATGAATATTAGCAGTTTATTCTTCACGTAGAAGTAATTAGAGCGGGTTTTTTTTTTTCACGACAAAAAGAAGAATCGAACGCGCGCGTGAATTGGCTTGATGAATTTCGATCGAAGTGCTACTACACATGCCACGTAGAGGCGTGAAACTAAAAGCGGGAAAAAATAAAAAAAAATGTTGGAACGGGAATAATAGGAAATTGATTAGAACTCGAACGATCCATCTTCTTCGAAAACGTACGCTGTTCTCGTTGCGCAATCAGTTTAAGAGTAAAATTTCATAATCGAGAATGCGCATTAAGCTACTGTTAAATGGATAATTTCTTCGAGGCAGAAATCAGTTGCAGATTCTCCCAAGCGATAGAGGCGATTTATTATCGCTGGTTTCGTGTACTGACAGCTGCATCGGCTTTAATTGCTCGTTCCTCGGATATTTCTTCATTTCGCCACTCACGAGGAAACGAAAGCTGCCGCGTGCCATCGTTTAAGTTTCTGATATTTCCATTTAAGTATCGAAAAAAAAGAATTCGAAACGTTTTATCGAATTTTTAAAGAATCTTTTAAAGAATCGACAGATATATCTATCACAAGTTATCGTTAATCATTTATAATACTTGTACGATATTATTTAAAAATGTTTAAATAATTAACGATTTAAAAAGATCAGAATTTAATCCAAAGATAATTTGAATTAAAACTCGAAATTAATATTGATGGATCCACTGGATGGAGAAGTCAAGGAACCGAATACCGAATTGGCAATGAAATTGGCGAAGGCGAACAAAGGTTTTCCTCCTGTTGACCCAGATTACGTTCACTACCGGAGATTGTTAAGGGATCGGATCGCTGCAAGATCGATATAATAGGTCTTTTCCGATTGTATCTTCCACGCGATATCTTCGACCTCTGTGTACACCCACGCGCCTTATATCAGAAGGAAAATTTCTTTTTCAGACCTTTCCAAGATCGTTCCTTCGTTCTTCGATAATCTGCGTATAGTTGTATCTCTTCTATCTGCCATTTTCCTCTTCTTTTTATCGGAAAATTTGAATCTGTCCATCTAATATTGGTTTTAATCCGTAATTTAACAAAAGAATATAAAGAGAATTTCAATTTTGAGAATTCGCTGCATACTGGATAATCCAATATTACTTTTCAATTTATATTTAATTTATATAATACAAGTTTCTCTACGAGGATTTTTTTTTTTATTTCAACGATACATGGAATATCTTTCGTATCGTTAAACGGATTTTTTCACGAATGATATTGAGTGTCCCGAATGATTTACAACTTATGAATTCTAACACGTTACACGCATGGATTCGTATGCGGTTTTTCTTGCCACCTCTTGTGCCGAGGTTCTTCGTTCGATAAATGTCCCATGTGGTCTATTTGTTCGTTCTCTCCTCGCGAGGCCAGTGAAAGTGCTCGAGCGTGTAATTGATTAACAATTACAAACGAGAAGAGGTTGCTATTATATTTTTCTTATTTTTCGAGACGAAAAGATTAATCATACAATCGTAAAAAAAGAAAATCTTTTTCATTCGATGGAAAAAAATTTAAATTGAAAAAAGAAATAGATGTGTTATTATATGAATCTCACAGATGTTTTATAACGGAAGGAAAAATAAAAAAATTGCGCTTTAGAGAAACACATTTCTATGGATCAATTTCTATAGATTAATCAATGAAATTTTGTCATCACTGATCATGATAGTTCTAAGAAAAAAGAAAAAGAAAATCAATAAAATTTTAAAATTTCTCGAATCGAAGATGCATAATATTGATTTTTGTGACAAAGTTTCACATGTAACAGTCTACACGAGCAAATAATATATCACTTTCAAATAGTTAAAATCTATGTGACTTACTCTCGAAGACAGAGAGAGAAATTTAATTTAATTTAATTTAATTTTTTTTTTATTATAACAGTTAACGATAAATGAACACGAGTAAAAAATTCGAGGAAATTCGATCCTTCTCGTTTGCACGTCAACCGATTTATACGATCTCTCATTATAACCGTCTCTCCATTTTACAAAATACTTTATTCCTTCGAGTTTTATTCAGGGTTAATGCGACCGTTTGCAACATCGAAGGTACGATATTGTCGTAATATGATTCGCGAGAAATTGAAGTAGCCGATAATATCACGACGGATGACACGACGATTTTTCAACTCTCACGTATAAGTTTTTCGCAATCGATCGTTCGTTCACGTAAGCGATCCACGACGCAATTTTGTAAAGTAATAGGGCTGTTTCTTTCATCGGTTCGTATCTTCATCGCTGTTCATTTAACAAAGATTACGGAATTCTGGATATCTCTTTCTCCTCTCGTTTCGTCATCTTTGACAAAAATTTAGAGAATAGAAAAAAAATAGAAACGAAAAAGTTTTACAATTTCGTAAAACTTTGTATCTCTATCGTAATAATTCAAACGCGTGAAATATGTTCAACCAATCGTCGAATTTTAATTACTTTTTTAAAATTATTATCAAAAAATAAAAATTGAATCGTTCAATTCAAATTTTTAACGTTAACATCGTGGATAGTGGAATATCCACGATTAAAAGTGTGCACGTGGAAAATTTTTGGCGTCAAGCCTTGAATTTTAATCAGGTCAGAACATTTTCGGCGAGAGATTCTTCGCCAATTTGTCCGCGCGTCTGTCGTCTGATTTAACCAGGTAAATCCGAAATTCTTTTCGGATTACGCAACTTACGATCAAGGGAAATTACAAAAATAACGTTGAATTCAACTTCGAATATGTCTCGCTTGCAAAGAAATTTTTCGTTTCATTATCTTGGAATATTTAATGAAAGAATCTTCGAATCTTGAGAATTCTTCGAATTCTTTTCTTCGAATTTAAATATTCAACGAAACGAAACCGTTCTTTTCCATATCCTCTCGATGCAGTTTTACGCGGGATTACACGCGTCAAATATTTCTTCCATCCGCTGGAAAAAGTCTCGGTAAATTTAGAATCGAGCTTGTTATTAAATCGACGTAAAAATATTTTAAAAGATATTCCTTTCGGAATTCCCTAACTGGCAAAAAACAAGCGTCATTTTCTCCTCCACGTGAAGAAACATGACTTAGAAATCGAGAAATATATTATCTAACATTCATCAATAAAAGGAATGCAGAGGAAATGTTCGTTTTATTGAATTATATAGGGTGAGTCGCCTCGTAACTCGATTATTTCAAATAAATCGTCAATTATTAATTTCTTGATGAAATATCTTTTCGCGTCTTCGCCTATCTTTCGTGCAATTTTTACAAAATTCAATTATTTTAAATTATCTTTTATCACAAAGGACTTAATTTATAGTTTTTATCATTGGAAAATAACTAATCAACATTTATATACAGTGTATTAAAAAAATATA